CTGAGTTTTTGGGATAGTGTGGAGAAGTGGTAACTGTAGTGGTAACGTATGTGTTTTAAAACCTAAACATATTAGTGTGTATTAAGAATGTGTATTAAGAATGTTGGAAACTGTAACCATTGACTTCCATAGGAGCTGTGCACTATAGATGTCAATGGTTACAGATTTGCAGCATTCTTCAAAATATCTTGTTTTGTGTTTAGCAGAATATTAAAGCATAAACCTGTTTGGAACTGGTCTAGGGTGAGTAAATAATGGCAGAATTTTCATTGTTTTTGGCTGAACTATCACTTTAACCTGACTTCAGGTTAGGCTGACAAATAATAAGGTCATGTAAACGCATTTGCCTGTTGTTTATTAGGTCATAAATTGACCATAGCAGCTTGATTTTTGTCGCCCCTCACATTGATTTGGTCAAGCATATAAACACATTACCCTACTTTTTGTTGTTTTATTAAAGTCCACATGTGTGATGCGTGACAGGAACAAGTTGTTAGTGCAGAATTTGTGTGCACGCAGACAGAGCAAACGTTTGGCGTTAAGGAAGCTTCTGGATCCAAAGAATTTTAAAAATGAGTTCCTTTCTTGTGCAGCAGAAGTGCTACAGTCATAACGCTACATCGCGAGAGGATAATATATGACCCATAAGTGTCCTCCTGACAGGCAGAAATGCTCTTTAGTTTTAAATGGTTTACTGTACATGACACCTGACATAACAAATGACTTGAAGGTAGATGCACAGATGATTAGATCACTTCCTGATTTATTAATACAGTTTTATAAACATGATTTACTTCCATTGCCAGGTTATCAGTTTGCATGTAAAATGGAACAATGCTTCATTTCAGTGAGCTGATTTTTGGTGTGCATGTAAACGTGCTCACTAACTACTCATAATACAGAGCTGCAGAGAGAGTTATTTTCACACCGAAGGTCAAACAGTAGCGTTCTGGTGGTCTTCCTGCCTGTTGAACCTAGGAAGCCGCTGAGATAGCGGCACTTCCTCCTCATCCCGGCCTCTTGACAGTTCTCACAGCTCCAGCTCATTCATGAGGACTAAGGAATTTCCATTGTGGGCTACTTTGGTTTCCTTCAGCTTTTTATTTCTTTCGCAGTCGTGACTTTTGATTCAGGCTGGATGTGAAACTGAGTTTTGGGTTCATCAAAAGGAACAAATAGAGGACATCCACCAGATCGCAGTCTTGCTTTTTGGCAAGTGGCTGTTTGTCAATAGAATATGATAAGCTTTGAGTTTTTTTTTGTAGCATGTTTCTGTAAGGTTTGGTTTAGGGGTAGAACTAGGCCATAGACTGTATCATTAACCTAATATAAAAATAATAGAAGGTTAGTGCGACAGCAAAGTGATTATAGATCTGACATATAGTGCAACAGCTCTCTGGGCGTCCCAAGTTTGTGGAACTTTTCTGATAGTGTCCCCCTCTTTCTTCAACTCCACTTAGGCCCAATCCCAATCCCCGCATTTTACAGTGTCTGCTATAATGTTAATGTTGATTTTGGTGTGTTTACACAGATGAATATGGCCACTGTGTAAATGCATAGTACAGTTAATACTTTATTGCCACATCATATTATTATGATAACATGATATTGTTGCTGGAATAAGTACAGCATTCGCAATCAGCTGATCACATATAAAGCAAGAGAGCGCAATGACACATGATGAGGTGTGCAGGTGATGTAGTGCTATCCCAATTCTTAGGGGTAAATTTTGAAGCCCTTCTTTTTCAAAAATAGAATTGTGATTGGGCCTTATTGTCATTCTACTGTCCTCTTAAATAAGGGCAAAATATATTAAAAAATTAATCTATAAAAAGGGAGGTCTATGTAATTTTTGTTCAATGTTCATTGCTGCACGTCGTCATATTATTATTTTGGTTTTGTATTTTGCCTGTGTAGTTAAAAATGCTGCTTTCTGTGTTGTCGTTCTGCTGGCTTGTTGCACTCGCTAGCAAAGACTCTCTGTAAACCAACAGCATTCAGCAGTAAGTCTAACTCCAGTAGGTTGGTACAGTACTGTTGCTCTAGGTACCCTTATGGCCTGTTTCCACTGAGTGGTACGAGACGGTATGGGTCATCTTTATCAGCTTGCATTCCACCAATGGTACCCTTTTAGTGGGTGTGGTGTACAACAAAGTTTCAGTCGACATTGCTCTATTGGTCATTTACATATCATATGAGGAGCACTGCTCACAAAACAGAGGCTTTATGCACATAAATACTTGTGTATAAATGTTTATTACTATTCTTTCTAAGAACATGATTTGATAATAACTGCAGATCATTGACCTTATAGCCTACTGTAACGTCTGCAATACAACACATACAGCCCCTTACAGTCTTTGATATGTAACAAATTACAGAAAAACTGCACACAGCATACATTCAGTCCTTATTTAAGTTAAAAAACAACACGCAACATATAGCCCAGTCAGTGCAAACCTCTGCATCTTTAGTCTTTACCAGAACATGTAACCTCTGTTTGAGAGTAATTCCGTTATTCGGGGTTCATAATTGTCAAAAAAGTTGATAATAAAAGTTAAACATGGCAGTTTGTTCATGTTTAAGGTTGCAGAAGCAATCATTTGCTTCTTTGTATTTTTTTTTTTTTTTTTTTTTTTTTGAGCGGGGGTTCTTCTTTTTTGTTTTTTCGTGCTTCACTATTGCATCTGTCTATTTCTGAAAGGATCGGATGTCAGAATCACTTCTGTAATCACAAGCACGTAATTATCATAAGCTCAAGAGGTTCTTTATTTCAAATATAGATGTGCCGCAAGCTCACAACAAAGTGAAACATTGGCGCTTTAGACAGCCTTGTAAACAACAACAGGGCTCAGGGTAAATTGTGCTCTTCTTCTTGGTTTTGTGGCTGTCCATAAAGACGACGACAAGCTTTGGTAGACCATAGCTCGTTATTATATATGTACTGTATATAGTATTACAACCTATTGTCTCGGCTGTGTATTTAAAAGTGGCACTTACTTCCGAATTTTACCGCTCAGTGATAACGTGCCATAGTGAAATATTAACATGACGCACTAGTGAGGACATTTTACTGTTACTATCCATTCTAATTAAAAAGTCTTATAAACTGGCTAGAACAAGTTTTCATTAGAATCTAATGGTTTTCAGATGTTTCTGAGAGGATTGGTGGGGTAGAGTTAGGCAATAGACAGCATCCTTCATTCATTTACCCTTGGCTTAGTCCCTTATTTATCAGGGGTTGCCACAGTGGATTTAACCGCCAGCTATTCCAGCATATGTTTTACGCAGCGAATGCACTTACAGCCGCAACCCAGTTATGGGAAAGTCCGATATGATATCTCATTCACACACACTCATATACTATGGCCACTAGTTAATCCCAATTCACCTATAGCAAATGTCTTTAGACTGTAGAGGAAACTGGAGCACCCAGGGGAAACACACGTAAACACGGGGAGAACATGTAAACTCCCCACAGAAATGCTAACTGGCCCAGCTGGAACTCGAACCAGCGACCTTCTTGCTGTGAGGCGACAGTCCTAACTGCTGAGCCACCATGTCACCATAGACAGTATCATTAACCTGATAGTAAAATAATGAAAGGTTGATGCAATAGCAAAGTAGTTATAGAGCCAACATATAGTGCAACTGTGCTTCAGGCGTCTTAAGTTCAAATCCCAGCTTGTGGAATTTTCCCGATCTTGTCCCCCTCTTTCTCCCACTTCACTTCCAGTCATTCTACTGTCCTCTCAAATAAAGGCAAAATGACAAAAAATTCCTTCCTAAAAACATAAGTCTAATTTCTTTTATAAGAAACTGTAAAATGTGTGTGTTGGCATACGTGCATGTGTTTTACTCATCACTGAGCACCTAACACTCTATTTAAAACTTTATTAGTGTATAAGTTGTAACATTGTAATTTCCAGTTCAGGAAAAGTGTTTGAAAAGTGCTAATCAAAAATGCTTGTTTAAACTTAGTGCTATCAAAACATGGTAAGATTGCTTTCTTACTGAAGGCTAACAAAGAACACAAATAAAGGGAAGTGTTTAGTTTCTCATCATATCCTTTTCTGGCTACTAAAAAGGAGTTTTATTTTTTATTTATTTATTTATTTAATTATTTATTTATTTATTTTAACACAACAGCAAAATGCTGTTAATCACTGCTTTTTTACACTGTCTGGTTTAAGCTGCTAGTCACACAAGGCATTTCCTTATCAGTTCTATTTTAATTTCACAGGCTAGTAGACTACTGTAGTGGCTTGGAGACAGAGGTAAATAAAAGCATAAAGGGTAAATTTGACCCGTTCATTTGGGTATTTTAGATGTGTGTCTGTGTATAACTGTTCTTTCAAAACTCTTCATGTCCATTCATCAATAACGATGTCATTTAAAAGTTGACAGCGATAGATTCAAAAGACAACAGCTACACAGTTAACAATACACAACTATACAATACACTATACACTATAAAAATTCCACAAGTTAACAACTTTCACAATGTTACAGTACAAAAGTCAGGTGATAAACTGTCAGTAATTTTACATTGTACAGTACAGTGTAAAACTGTACAGTATGATAATATTATATTATATTATATTATATTATATTATATTATATTATATTATGCAATATGTTTTTTAAACTACTAAAATGTCTATAAAAGTCACTTTGATAAACTACAGTTTTTAATTTTTAAAGCAGAGATCAATGTCACATAATACAACTTATAACCATAAATCTATGAAAAACACCCATGAATTACAACATACATCAACTAAATAAACAGAATTTTTTACAGTGTATCTACTCAAATTGGAAACGCTGTTTATTTACCAGCATGGCTGCAACAGTAGCAGACACTTTTTTTAGCACATTTTAACACTCGGCGGATACAAACGCTTCTCAAAATTGACTGCATCTATCAAAGTGACACTCTTAAAAATGTTCAGCACTAAGGTTATATAAGGATGGGATTGTCCAGACATTATGGAGGTGAAGCAAGGACAGCAGACAAAAAAGGAAATAGATCTAAAGTCTTATCCTCCTGAGAGGAGTTTGATTGATGTCCAAATCGAGTTGCTGTTCAAGGGGTTTAACTGAAACTGGCCGCGATTCAGGCGTCCAGCAGAAGTCATGAAGGGAAAGAGACCTTTTACAGGGATCAGATGCAGAGACTTATTTTCTCCCAAGTGCAGAAGAAAGCATGTGGCGCTCTGAAATGAAATGGTGATATGAATCCATCTCAGTAGTGCTGTGGATAGTTCTCTTTTTATGACTCCTTTCACTATCCAGTCTCACCTGAATCGGCACCAATCACACTGATGCTGTGTGTGTGTAAGCTGATATTTTGGAACTGATTGTTAACTGTTGTGTATTTTATTTGTGTGCAGAGACACTCCATCACTGGCTCCATGGCTGCCGCAAAGCCTCTCTCCTCACTTGCAGACAAAAGACCCAGTTACACAGACATCAGCATGCCAGGTAACACACATTCACTAATGACCTTTCTCCTGTCCTTTTAAAGGGCTTTACTGATCATTGTGTGTTGATGTAGAAATACAGTTTCTTTCAGTAGTCTGATTGATTTGACTCACTCTTTACAATAAGATTTTATTTGTTGACTTGAGTTAAAGGGCACCTATGATGAAAATAATCTTTTGGACAGTTATGTTCGTCTTTAATATATTTCACACCTTCTACAAGCATCATGACAACTTGTGACATGTCTAGAAAGCAGTCTGGAACAACCCTAAATTTATTCTTTAATATATTTCCTCTGATCAGCAGTTCCTCTAAAAGTATGCAGCACAGTAAAAAAAAGAATAAGTGTGTCAGGTCAACATGCTATTATGCAAAAGAAAAAGATTGACTAATATGTTGTTAGTCTAAACATTTTTCTAATAAAAATAAAGACACAAAAGTAATAAAAATAAATAAATTTTTCCTGCATAATCACAGTAAACTGGACCTGTGTGGGATGCCTGTTCTGCTGCTCCACCTTGCTCTGCCTGCCTGAATGTTTTTATTTATATATTTATTTTTCATTTTAACCTATTATAAACCAAAAATCACACTCTTACTGTGAATCATAGAATTCTCCAGAAGTTGCACTGATGCACTGAGATTTGACTCAGAGAGGCAGTTTCCTCATAAAAGACAGACGTTTTCCTGACACGGTGGTTTATGACCCCCGCAAAAGCAGCATTGAACTCATGATGAACTCTGATGTAATAACTCGTGCGAAAAAACACCACGTATGAACAAATACTCCAGTTTTAACCCCCCTCCCCACGCATGTTCACCATTATTATGCTGGAGCGAGAAGCCGTGTGTTTGTGAACGTGCACAATGGAACATAGAGCCCTCTCTGATATGCTTGTTTTTCAGTTTACAGGGAACTCTTATCAACATTGGTGGAAATGATAGTGTTTTGATTGGCGTGAGGATGACTTATGTGTTTGGGTGATCGGTTGCCCAATCTGATCCCTATTATAGTTACAATGCCTTCCACTAATATTGACAAAAAAAGTAGTATACTTTTGCTTAAGATTTTTCGTAAATGTTTCAATTATACACATTTTCAAACCCCACAACCCTTGCTGAAAATAGAACATATAATAGCGTTAAAGATGTCTATTATTCAAGCTGAAGTTACAGCTGTTTGAAGAAAAAAAATAAGAGAAAGAATGAAAAATAGATAAATATACATAAACACTTTCTAACACTAAAAATAATAATAATAAACACAAAAAATGAAGAGGATGAAAATATAAATAAATGAAAGAAGAAACCATTCCATACACTTTGTTGTAATATAAAAATTAGGTAATGTAGGTGACTTTATGATTTTTTTTCTCACTTAAACCATCCTCCTAACACCATGTCCTAACTGCATGCGACATGACGTGATTTCAGTGACAAGCATTTGACTGTCTGCTCCAAACATGAAGTGACTCCACAGAAAAACCTAGCCATTTCTTTAAATATCAGCCACTCCACTCTCAATAAAATGTTAAGATTCTAATCAAATTAATACACATTTACCTATTTAACATTATTAAAAGTACATAGGCTGTGTGTGTACTGTTGCTGTCTCTGGCTTTCATTTTAACATGGTGAACTATCTGCTGCTGCTTTTACTAGTATGGCAATAAATGTCAAGAAAAATGGTGTTCAGGGCGTACTCACACTATGTACAGTTTCCTCGAACAGGCCAAAGCATGCTTGTCCCCCTCCCGTCTCCCCCAATGGCCCGCACTCACATTACAATCGGGCCTGGGCACGCGTACGACATCGATGCTGCGCTGTTCAGTTAGCGCTCTCGCTCAGCACAGTTGAGATTTTTCTAGTTATATCGCTTTAGTCCTTAAGGATGCGGTGACACTCTGTCAGATAATTCCCCAAACAAATCAGCCACTTTTGACGCTCATAAACAATCATAAAGCCCTCATTCTGCAGGAATGAAGAGGTTTGCTGAAGGTGCGCAGCTGTCGTGCAGTGAGGGGTTTGCGTATTTAATAAATTACGGAAGTTTGCGTTCACTCAACAGTAAGAATGATTAATAAATCCATATGAAACAGTCCCTTAAAAGTCACGTCTTGCTTTCAGTTTCGGGCTTTTCAGCGCACTCACACTTCTCAAATGATCCAGGACACAGGCCTGGGCACGGTACGGACACTGAATAAAGCACATAATTTGTACCTGAGGAGATAATTATCAGCAGTTTTTTAGTTTTGCTTTCCCACAATTTTGCAAAAATAGAAATTTTTCATATAATAATAATATAATAATATATTAACATGAAAAAGATGGCCCCACATTGTGTGTGATTCAAGAGCTCACATTTAGCTGATGATTGATAATAAAGCATGTTTGGCATGCTGTCCCGGGAGACTTGAGTTTATAAGATCCTTGAGCCTGGGGCTCCCCCCCGTTTGAATGGCGACAAGGGAGTTTGAGCTCAGGTAGATCTTGAGAGCTCCGTTGCTTGTGAACATGTTAGGAAGAGCTAAGAAACATACCTGACTAAGAGTTTGGCTTATTATGCTACTTTGGATTAGTAAATTTACTTATTTTGTATGTCTTTGGATGGTCGGAGGAAAAAAGGGAACCCGGGAAAACCCACATGAGCACGGGGAGAACATGCAAACTACGCACAGAAATGCGGACTGCTGTGAGGCAACAGTGCTAACCACTGGGCCGCCGTGCTGCCTTATCAGGAGAAGAGGAAGGAGTAGGGGTGGAAGGGGGGATTCTTCATGAGACGAAGATGACTGTAGTGAAAAACTCTGGTTATTTATAGTGAGTGAGTATTCATCTGATTGGCACATTATGTGAAACTGATGCAGGACCAGCCATGATCAATCATAAGCACATGATCCTCTCTTATGCCGAGTTCAGACTGCATGATTGTAGCCCTGATTTTGACTCGCCAACAGGTTTTGAGAAATCGCCGACAAATGCCTGAAATCACAGGCAAATCAGTGCTTGTTCATGCGAGTAACCATCACACAGTATGAACTGTCAAAGACACGATATGAGAGAATCGCAGATGAGTCGCCAATGCCTGTGAGATATTTGGCATGCTAAATATCTGGAGCTGTCGGCGATTCAAATCATGCCGTGTGAAATGAGTTTTGACTGAAAATAACATCGGCAATCGCCTACAGCCAATGAGAGAGCAGCATTGACTTGTGTGTGTGTGTGTGTGTGTGTGTGTGTGTGTGTGTACACCTGCTGGACAGCGGGAGGCTGGGGAGAAGTTAAAAGCGCTCCTTTTCAGTTTATTTGGACCCAAGAAATGAAGGGATCAAAACCTCAAATATAAACTAGTATAAATTTGGCAGGAGCACAAGTGTCTGTTTGACGTGTCATGTGAGCAATATCATAACCAGTCGAAAATGGAAAAAAAAGTTGAAAAGAAATTGCTAATTCCCTTCAAACCCAGGTGAGCAAATAAGTGCATTTTCTACCCCATTAAAGGCTTCTTTCTCATTATGTAGTTAAATACAAAAGATATACTACGTGTTTTTGGTTGTGAGATGTAGTTTGGACAAAGTTGTCGGCGATTCTCCTTTTGTAAAGTCATACTGTTTGAAACTCCCTGTCGCTGATCCATCTTGCAGTGTAAACAAAACAGTGACAAAACGCTAGCCCTGATAATCGTGCAGTGTGAAAACATCTGTGACACGACTACTAAGAAAATCATGCAGTCTGAACTCGGCATTAGTTAGTTCATAAATAAATTGCACTTAGGACACCGTGTAATGATGTATTTATATGAGACCGACATAGAACCTCTTCCAGAGTGATCCGTAACACTTCCAGTTGACTGGAGTTCCTTTTTCATGGCCCTGAACCCTGATGGTGGAAATGGGAATTTTTGGTGTTTCTGCTGTTTTCTTTAAGTAACTTCACATTTTGTGAAGCTCAACAACCTTTTGGCACAATTCACTCTGCTCTTTTACCCATTGTAACATATGAGACAGAGTTCCCACTGGTCATACTATTTCTGGAATATCATGGATTTTTTAAAGGTCTATTCCACACATTGAAAGTCAGGGAATTTTTATACTATTTTGTCATGGAAGTCATGGAATATCAGGGATTTTTTTCCATTAATCAAAATTTTCTATACCGGAACATTATCTATAGTTTTTTGTTTTCTTATAGTGGCTATTGCAGTCAAGCAAAATTATATTTGAGCTAAAACCATTTTAACATAGTTAATATTTTAACGTTTTATTATAAATCTACAAGCACAACAGCAGGCCTATTTTTCCTGCTCTTGAGATACCATAGAAATTCCGCTTTTAAGTCAGTGAAAGTCAGGAAAAAGTCAGGGAATTTGATATTTGTCTTTAAAATGGGAAAACTAGTGACGGAGTGACTGTGGCCTGTTTCCTCATATTTTTAGCCATGTGAAACGGGAGCTCATAACAATTGTAGTAAATATTTAATAATATCAATAACACTAATAATAATTGTAACAAATAGTTGAACAACCTGTTCATAATAACAGAAGCATGTTAAAAAAAATTAAAATATCAGTGGGAATGAACTTAAAAATACTTTGCTTATATGAGTTTCTATTGATACCAATAATTATGGTATGTGTTTTTAACAAAGATATTCATTTTTTGATACAGCCATGTTGTTTCCAATAGTTTGCTCCTAATAAGAGACATTTTATTAATATTTTGAGCAAAAGATCAAAATGTTACAGAATAAAGTTATTTTTCACAGCATTCTTTTCTCATTTTGCCAATATTAGTAGATGGGCACTCTATTGAGACTAATCCACTGTCAGCATTGATTTCATTTGTCCCTAATGATGCTTTCCTTTTTACAGATTGATTTGATTATACTTGAAATTGATTGTGATTATTTTGATTTAATGTGCAATAAAGTTTTATTGTCAAGCGTGTTTGTAAACTGCACAGTTCATTCTGTTCAGCACTCAGATGAACTGATAAGCAATTATAAAATTTTGATTATGACGTAACAATGTATGTAATCTCTCTCTCTCTCTCTCTCTCTCTCTCTCTCTCTCTCTCTCTCTCTCTCTCTCTCTCTCTCTCTCTCTCTGTTTGTCTGTCTGTCTTTAGCTGAGCATCTACTCAGAGCAGCCAACAGTCGTCCAGCTTCAGCTCTTCAGAGAGTCTCAAATATGGATACATCAAAGACCATCACAGGTGAAGCTTTGACCCTTAAAAGCAACTGCAGACACCACAATTTATAATAAACCTTGACTTTGAACAGCAATTTAACATACTAGAAGGATCTCTGAAGGATCATGTGGCATTGAACACTAGTAATGATGCTGGAAAATTAGAAATAATGCAAACACAAATTTAAAATACAAATATGGAAAGATTTAGGAAGCCACTTGAAAATTTCTCACTCAAAGTTTTTCTGGATTCACTTATTTTTTTTTTTTTTTTTTAAATAAAATGTGAAAATTTGTTTTATTCTATAGAGGTCCAATACATTTCTAGTCTAATTTTCAAACTGCACTATAAATATTGTCCCTTAAAACCATTTTATTTATTTATTTATTTAGTTAGTTAGTTAGTTAGTTAGTTAGTTAGTTAATTGGTTTGTTGGTTATCTATTTATTTATTCTTTATTTATCATTTGTTAAAATTTTAAAATTGTGGTTATTCTACCAAATAATTGATTTTTTAAACTCTGGAAAAACTGAAGTTGCTATTGTGCTGCCTAATAATTACAGCATTGTACATATTCAAATATACCGAGTTGTCAGATTCTGTAACTGTTGCATGTGACTTCAGTTTCAGATTAAATGAATAGTTCACCCCATAATAATCATTTTCTCACCATTTAGTCTCATTCAAGTGGTTCAAGTGGTTTTATGAATTTCGAGATATTCTGAAGTATGTTGGAAAAGCCATTGACATGGTAGGAACTAAAAAATACTATGGAAGTCAGTGGCTGTTTTTGTCCAAACATTCTTCAAAACAAGAAAGGTTGGAACAAGTGAAAGATGAGTAAATGGTGATCTATCTCTTTAATATAAAGAAGAATTGTATTCCTCCACTACTTTTACCAAGTAAAAAGTTGACGAGATGTTTTCTCTGACCGCTGGTTAGTATCTCGGAGAAGCAGTGAGGAGCCGAAGCGGGATATCAGCACTCCTGATGGAGGTCCGGCTTCCTCTCTGATAAGCATGAGCTCTGCTGCCGCGCTGTCCTCTTCTTCCTCTCCCACAGCCTCCGTCAACCCCACTGCACGAAGCCGCCTTCGGTACAAAACCTGCCCTACAGCTCAAACTATCTCTTGCATATTTCACATATTTTAGGTTTGCATGCACCTTCAAAATTTCAAAATATTTGTTGATATGAATCTGACATAAGTTGAAATGTAATATTCATAATTAATATGAATATTCAGTAGTTTAAATAATAGCATGAATTCTAAAAGTCTAAAGTCATATTTTTTATTTTGTTTTATGCATGTAGAGAGGAGCGAAAAGACCCTTTGTCAGCTTTGGCTCGAGAGTATGGTGGTTCCAAAAGAAATGCACTGTTGAGGTGGTGTCAGAAGAAGACTGAGGGTTATCAGGTAGGTAATTATATTAAATTATAATTTATTATATTGTATTATATATATTTATTTATTTATTTATTTTTGTGACCCCTGTGGTGATTACATTGTATTAAAGACACAGCAATAGCGTCAGATGCAGCACATTTTATAGCACAAGGTAAAACTTTCTGACACCTTTACGGCACTCGTGTACATCAAAAATAAATACAGGCCACAGTTGCACATGGAGGATATTCTCTGAGTGGCGTTCTCCAAAATTTAAACAAGGAATAGACTTATGTGTGCTCCGTTGTGTGCAAACTTTATGAATTTATAGCCACCTCAGGGATTATTAAGGGTCATGAGTTATTTTAAGAGGCCGCAGACTGAAAAATTTAGGAACCCTTGGGTTAGCAGGGAGTAGTGAATACGGTCTGGACCCTTTATTTCTGAACACAGTTGATGCATCTCATCTTTCATCTATCATGCTGGGTATCAGAGAACAGTGTGGTGTAAGGACAGGAACTGAGAACCACTGAAATAATGATTACTTAATTATCAGGAAAAAAGGCAAATACATTTAATAAAAAAAATGAATAAATAAATTAAAAATTCAAATAAATAAAATACAGAATAGAAGGTTGAATAAAGTAAACAATTATTTTGCATATTTTCTAAATGAAATACATTATTTCTAATGAAATAGCAAATTTTGCTTAGGTAATAAAAGTGTTTTGTCGTTCCACTGTTGTTGAAATGTTATCCTTGGCAACTCTAATATGGGATCTTTGTTCAAAATAATAGATAAAATAATTCCCCATGCCACACTACTGTATATATATCCCTGTTTTTCCCAGATTTTAGTGAAATGCTCTTTCCTACTTCCAGCCAAGGTCTTTCTCTTCCACTAAAGCGTGTGTGGTTGTCATAGTCACTGTTTATCAAGATCCTCACCAGGAAGTGCGCTGGATTTCTCAGGCATTTTAAATGGCACTTGACGCAAAACAGGCTCATCAGCAGCACTTCTGAAAACAAACTCTGTCAATTTACATCATCAGGGCATTTTTTTTATGTAAATGACTACGTTTTCTTTATGCAACAAAGTCTTCTATATTGTTTTATTGGTTTGTCAATAGATTTTTTTTTTTTTTTTTTTTTTTTTGCTTTTAAAGGTCATCTGTCTTTGTTTTCCACTTCCACAAGCTTAACTTTACTGTTACTTAATTTGTTAGCATGTATTTTAGAAAACTAGAGTAAACATGAGTTTTATCTGGTTGTGGTAGTCACTGTTAAACACCAAACCTTCACACGTGAAACTGATAGCCGACACCACAGCTGATGAAACCAATGGTTATCAAGAATTAAAAGAAAAACATCATCGTGCTTCTGTGGTTATATACATAACCTGTACAATAATATAGAAACAAAATACGTCACTAATTCCTCTTAACGCTCCCTACTCAACCCTAGAGAAAAATCGTGAAGATGCACTCATGGAATAAAGACTGGCTGATCTTGTAAAATAAGGTTTCACTTACTCTGATATGCATCACTGGTTGTTCATTAAAGGGTTAGTTCACAAAATAAAAATTCTTTGATAGCAATATTTCTTGCGATAAAGAGAAATTAGCTTTTTTTATCATTTATTTACAATGATCACACTAAAAACACTATTAATGGATATTTTTCAGATTGAGTTGCATTTAAATCTGACTAAAATTGTCAATTGCAAACATTAGACTCTAAAATATAATGAATAACTGAAAACCTCTGCAGACATTCTGATTCTGACTCAGTGTTGTTGTTTTAATCACTTGACTCTACTTACACCATTAATATTTACTCTCTGTGCTGAGGCACTAAAGGGTCATCTTTGTGTCCGCTGTAGCCAATAGACTGATTCATGCAGCTACTGTACCATTTTAAAAGTGAAAGCAAGGCTGTGATGGGAAGAAACCCCGAAGTATTGCCTGGAGACACACGGGAACGGTGTTCACTGGCTATACACCTTATCAGAGAAGGGAAAGTGGCACAAATTTATCATCTCACCACTTTACAAGTGAACAGAAGACCTGTTCTGAATGGATGGTGAAAATAAAAAGGAATATCAGATCTCATTTTCAGCTAAGTGAAGGGAAACGGCACTAGTTATCTAACGTTTTCTTTCCAAAACACATGTTTTAGCATGTTAAATCTGTGTTTGCTGTGAAGAGCAGTGAACTGGTGAGCGTCATGGCTCTTTCACAATCATTTATGTCGAGCACTGGTGAATACTATGGAAACTACACTTTTACAGAAAACACGAGGGTGTGCTACAGAGGACTGCATTGTTTTATCGCTTACTGGGTTAAATAAGCTTACCTGGTGCAATGAACTGAAGCCACGAGGACACTTTAAGCGTATTACTCTTAAAGAGATTATGAATTTGTTTGATGCCTAACATGCTTTTTATTGTTAAATTAAACTTAACTGAATGATATTAAAGTGATGTTTACACCATATCTTCACTTTGAAATCACTGCAACAGCTGGAGGTTTGTAGTCCACAGCATGATGTTGCAATGTTTCTTCCCACCGCAGCCTCACTTTCGTTTTGTGGTAAGGCTCAATGTGATGGATCAAATATAGATCGATTATGCATGTAACATTCAAATGCTAGACACAAAGTTTATAAAAATACTTTTATCACACTTCTCTGCGATACAGATTTTACACATATTATTATTGTTGAAATTACAAAAATTTCTTCTCATTTTGCTCCAAACCTAAAATAGTGTTCATCTTCAGAAAATGAATGAATTTACTAACACTCTGATAGTCCAAAATGTTTGCAAAGAGATCTTTATGAATTTAAATCCTGAAGAGTTATGACTGCTTCATGTAATGGACAGATTTTAATTCGGCTTTCGTGTATATAAACACTCACAAGCATGGTTTACAACATCAGGTTTGGTCACGGAGGCTCGGGTTCATTCTTGCATGTTTCATAGCATGTTTGAGCTTCAGCAGGAACCAGTGAGTTTTGTTCTTACACGTTAAGAAAGTATGTTTAAAATTCTGATTACGTTCACTCTTCAATCTATTGTATGGATGTAAAGACAAACCTAAATCAAGTCTGTCTATCATACAAGCTGATAATGTCTCTTCAGAAGACTTGGATTAAATCATTTTTTGCATAATTTTATGATTGTTTTGAAGCGCCAATGTTTTGGGTGAAAAGGCTTTCATTGGAGAGGAAAAAAGCCTTATGATTGGAATGACAGAATTTTCACTTTGCAGTGAACAAACGCTTTAAATTTCTCTGAAGGAATAAGAACCGATGTTCCCAATGCTTCAGCAGTAGATCCAACAGTATAAGATGAGTCTGTCTGCTCTTCTGCCACAGAAAATTGAACTTCAAGCCATTGAAATAGATCTAAACCATGTTATTTTGCTCTTGGAGCTCAGATAAGGTTGTTGGAGAACTTCAATGAACAGGAAATCTGCTTTACACATTTTACACCACAGGAAGATGAGAAAATGCTGCAGTGTGAGGTAGTGGTTTACTGAATGTGGCACATTGAATTGCATTAATTGTACAACTTTAACTGAATCAGGTTCAAACTCTCTAACCTACTTTTAAATGCATCACAGCTTTATTTTATGATCCTACAGTCTGTTTTTTTTTTTGTTATCATTTGTTTTGCAGAACATTGACATTACTAACTTCAGCAGCAGCTGGAATGATGGACTTGCCTTCTGTGCTGTCCTTCACACGTACCTGCCTGCTCACATTCCCTACCAAGAGCTCAACAGTCAAGACAAGGCAAGTATGACTAAATATTAGAAGAAGAATTCAGTTACAGTGCATTCCAACGGGATATATCACACTCTTAAGGGCACTTCGTTGTGAAAACAAACACGGCAGCCATATTGAAGTGACCTTCCAAACTTAAGTGCTCAAAACTGGCCGCTTCGGAATGAAGGATTTCTAACGGTAGAACTGATAGACACTTCGGGCCCCCATAATTATTTGTGCAGGAATTTCCCTAAAATAGAGATAAAATAGAACATCTAAAACACACCTTAAAATGGTTCAATATCATTGAACTAGGCTGCCAGTATTATTAATAATATTAACAATTTAATTGCTGATGCTTTATCATAATATAGGTTATCATCACCATACAGACCTAATCTAAATGTATTATTTTAACAGGTTTAAAAATTGTACATTCAAAAAAAAGGTACAAAATTCCGAAATTCCAAATTCTGAAATTAACGTGTTTTTTACGTATTCATATGTGAAAAATTTGTCACTTAAACAAACCTTGTACACTGAGTCTGATGGGTATTAATTAGTCCATTATGAAAAAACATTAAACATTTCAGAGTCAGATCAGGCGTTGTTCTCCTTTCTCTTCTCTAAAGTAGAGCTACATATTGTGTTCATCCAACACAGCTTAGAGAGGAAGGAGAGTTCAGCTCATTTTCAAAGAGCTGCGCTATTATAATAGATGGTGGCTGCATTAATGTGTTGAAGCAACAGCACAAAAGCGGATCATGCTTTCTTTTATCATATCTATAACCAATATGTCTTTATTTTATGCACTGTTAGACATAAAGTTATCTATAGCTCAAATGTCATTTTATATTTAACTTTTCGCTTTAAACACCTCTTAAAGTGCTTGTTCAGATGTGAAAAGTGGAAAAAATTTAACCTGGTTCGAATTTTTTCATGACGGACGAAAGTTTCGGAGGCAGTCTGTCAATATGACTGACACAACATGAGGTCTAATTCATTTTTTAATAATATTTATTAAAATTCCAGATGAAAATTTCCATTTTTCCATGGTTATTGCCGACTGAATGCAAAATTTTCATCCGAAAAAGGTATCTGAAATGCTTTGCCTTTTTTCACAATAGATTAATACGCATCGGACTGTGTGCAAAGTTTGTTTACGTGATGATTTTTTTCGCATATGAATATGAAAAAAACATACAAAACTTTTGGACTTCAGTGTAAAAAGACCCTAATTAAATGTTGTAAACAAATTTATTTGCAAAGGAATGATGAAGGGAAATAGCTACCATTTTATAATCAAATTTTATTAGTAAACAAAATGGATTAAAATCAACAGCCATGTTATATGTTAAAGTTAATAAAAATTGCAACAATTGTATTAGTTATTAACTCAATTAAATAAAACTATTATGAATTTTTAAATGCGTTATTAGGCATTAACTAAGACATAAAAAAATGCTTTTGTAGCTATGATTACTTTGACTTTAGTTAACTGAAATGATTTTAACAAATAGAGCCTTACTTTACAGAGTTTTTTAACAAAAGATCTATAAATAGTCACAGAATTATTTTAAAATGTAAAATAAATGTTTGAAAATAAAATGTCTTCAAGCATTTGGTGTTGTGATGAACAACCACTGTCAATTCAACAGTCTGAATATTTTTAAAAGACACTTATTTATTATTATTATTATTTTTATTATTAAAGTTATTTTAGATTAAGTAAATAATTATTCACAGTATTTTGATGTGCCGATGATATCAATATTGTGTTTGTTTATTATCACAATGACTTATTGAATATCAGCATATGTCTACATTGCACAAATCAATATTAAACCAAATAATTGTCAAGCTTATAAGAACATTGTTTTTAGGTTAATCTGGGTTTTGTCATTAATCTCACAACTATTTGTTTTCAGAGACGAAATTTCACCCTGGCCTTCCAAGCAGCAGAAAGTGTGGGCATCAAGTCCACTCTGGTAAGAGCTTTAGGTATTTTAGTATTAGCTTGAACACAACAGGCTTATTGAGGCCGGCTGACGCAGTGAGCTTGTAGTTTGTACATGTTTAGTTGTCCGAGCGTTTGCGAATGAGCAACGTGCACACAGGCCTGATGCAGATGTACGGCAGCCTATTAATCATGGAGGTGGATTATTTCTGTCATCCACTCCCATCCTGTAAGCTGAAAGCAGGTGAAAACCTGGAAACACTTAATTATCAGCCAGCGCTGGTTATTTATAGCACACGGTATAGGATTGTTTCCTTATTGTGAACCACTACTTAAACATGTTCACATGCTGAAAACACCTCTGAAGGTCTTGAGATTCTGAAGTAACTTAATGTGACTAAAGTATATCACCAGTCATGAACATTTTTAGTAAGTGTTGCAATTCCATGCGTGTCCAAGAAAAAAGGTCAGGAGAGGTTTTTTCTTCATGTCAAAAATCTTAACCATTTATTAGATACAAATGAATAATTCAATTCACAGAATTCTGTTATCCTCAATGAAATGCAAACGTTACATTCAGGAGGTGCGCAACAGTTTTCATTTTCTGACTTTAACTTATATAGGCAGCTGATATTAACAGGTGGAGTTTAGTGAAATTCTATCATTGTCCAGTCCTCCATTGGCTGCACCCCAGACATAAGTCCTCTTTTTCTATGAATTTTCTGCACAATAATAAAAGCAAAAGACTTTCTGTGTTTTTTTAACACCTTTATTTCTGCAGAGCTGAGTTTACTTTTGACCAGCATTTATCTACTTCTGCAATAATGCTAATTAGCATGCACAGCATCCCACACACAGCAGTACAGTTCAGTTAATATATGACCCTTAAATGACAAATAATTGTTTGATGAAAAGAAAAGAGACAAAAATAATAAAAAATACATTCCTTTTTCCCAACATAAGACTATACATTGTTCATGATAAATTCATATTTACTATGATGAAGGAAACAAATAATTTCACATTATAATATTTACTTTATTTGGACTATTACGGATGCTACAATTGCACATTGAATGGAGTTAACAGAATGGATCTGACTTAATAACAATAATATCAGGCATGGTATCTCTTGTATTGTAGAGATGGGCCATATGGCAAAAAAGCAGTCTCTATAATTATTTCCCATATTGAACGATAACGATACACATGTTGATTGAAGTTGTTAATGCTTCCAAATTTAAAACAGTAATCCAACGACTGATGCCAGAAAAATTAGAGGGTCTGTTAAATGGCAACACATCATTTTTACAGATACATTTCTGATGGCTGAAAATTTAGTACATCTCTAATATCAACACACTTCTAGATTCCCATTGTTGCACATTTCTGCTGTGTGATTGGCTCTTAGATAAATATAGAGTAAAAAAGTCCAGAGATTATCATTGTTATTGACTTAAATTTTTATCACAATTCGATATAATATTGTTTATTGGCCCAGCCCTGGTTTATTATCACAATGTACTGCAAATATGCTAGAAAATGCTAAAAATTGTTGTTGTGACACCCTACTGCTAATAGCAAAATAAACTAAACTAAATAATGGTGACAAATTGATAGTAAAGAAAACATAGTAATGTTTATATGAGGTTGTGTTAATTATATTTATTACATGTCATAAATAAAATATAAAATAGTTAAACAAGTTAATATTTAGTGCGTAACATTTTAGCAAAGAAAAATATTTTAAACAAATCTGAAAATTGTGTCTTAGAGCAACAATGCTGTGCCTTGACTCTGAATGAATCTATTTTTTAACAGATCATTTGAGTCTGTTATTCAGTTATCCATTCATAAAGGCTATCGCTTGTCTTGTTTCTAAATTAATTCGCTTTTTTTTTTTTAAACAATTAATCTAAATGAATGATTTAATGAATCTCTCATTGTGACATGAACTCCTTAACTCTTTAATTGCCTGCTCTACCAAATGGTTGACCACATTTAGTATGTAATATACACATTTATTTTCCGGAGAGAAAAAATATATAAAAGGAAAATACCAAACAAATTCATAATAATCTAGTTGATCAAAAGCGCCTTTCAGACAGGTTCACCAGCCTTTGACTACATTTGTTCTCTTTAAAAGAGTAATACTTAGCAAATATTGTGCTTAGATATAGTTGAAGTCAAAATTATTAGCCCCTCTTTGAATTTATTTTTCTTTTTAAATATTTCCCTAAATGATGTTTAAAAGAGCAAGGACATTTTCACAGTATGTCTGATAATATTTTTTCTTCTTGAGAAAGTCTTATTTCTTTTATTTCAGCTAGACTAAAAGCAGCTTATAATTTTTTTAAACCATTTTAAGGTCAAAATTATTAGCAGCTTTAAGCTATTTTTTTCGATTGTCTACAGAACAAACCATTTTTATACAATAACTTGCCTAATCAGAAAGCAGTTGTTAGAAACAAGTTATTAAAACTATTATGTTTATAAATGTGTTGAAAAAAAATCTTCTTTCCGTTAAATAAATACAATAAAATCGGGGAAAAAATAAACGGGGGCTAATAATTCTGACTTACACTGTACATTAGACAAAACTATTTTTTATTTAAATTTTTTTTATTTATTTATTCAATGCACTGTCATTTATTATCAAAATTATTACTGATGTTTAAATGCCAAAATCTTTTTTTCCACTTATTTTTAAAGTCTAAAGAGAAATGGAGTATTGTTTGTTTTTATTATTATTATTATGTGATGCATTATTTGGTTACTGATAAGCAATAAATAACACTTTAAAATATAAGGAGTTTTCATGTGATTTACTAAACTAGTAGTGTTTTAAAATTAAGGACTGCATAGTAATCGTGATAACAGTAAAACTGTGATTATTCCTCAGACTATAATCACACAACTCGAATCTATAATCGCTGCATCGCTATTAGGTATTGGGTAGAATTAGGGATGTAAAATAAGATCATAATAAAGTACTAATAAACAGCTAATATTTAAATAATAGGCAGGTAATAAGCCACTAGTTAATAGTGAGAATTGGTACTCAAACTAAAGTGTTACATGCTAGTGTTTGTGCAATAACCTTTTTTTAAGTCATAAAAAAAAATATATATATATATATATATATATATAATAAACCATGAAGATTCAATGATTTCTTCTTGTTCAGTTGAGATCTGAATAAGTGACACAATTCTCTCTCTTTCTGTTTCAGGACATCAATGACATGGTCCATACAGAAAGACCGGACTGGCAGAGTGTTATGACTTACGTCACCTCCATCTACAAGTATTTTGAGACCTGAGCACATGTCCATTCACAAACTGCCACACCCAGTGCAACAGATTTCCGCCAACTAACCCGAGTTCAACTCTCCACCATATCATCCATGCCTAACCCTAGCACAAAGTCACATTACGTTACACCCCCATCACAAGGACAAATTCTGTTAGCGTATACTGATATGATACTTTGATTTTGGATCTCAGCCGCTAACCCAGAATGAGTTTGCCTTGATAATGGAGCTTCGGCTCACTGTTTGAAGACTCTTAACACTACAGACTATACATGGAATTCTTGGTGTGGATGATCTGAGTCTGTGGATTTGAAGTCAGTCGGACACGCTTGCGACCCCGTGCCTTTCGTCACCCTGAGTTCTTGCGTCCAGACAGCGTTTGGAGCAAGTCCTTCACCTTAATTCACAACCGTGCAACACGAGCGAGACGTGCGGATTGCTCAAAGCAGTGCCTGATGGAAAGAAGCACTTCACTAGAGGAGAATCGTACAATATATAGCACACGAGATTAGTAGCTTGAAATTATTTGATGATTTTTTCAAAGCGATTGCTTTGAAATGGGCGCCTTTACGTAACGACTGTGACAGATCTTGGCTTGAAATACTACATATTAAATAAGGAGGTCAGCAATAAGCTTATGTAGCCCGTTGAGCCATTTCATATGACATTAGTGCTGCTCACTAACAGTAAAATACTGTAGTAAACACTATATTCGGATTTGCATGTACTGTCCAGTATATTAGTCCGAAATGGTATACCAAAAATCATGTCACAATGTCTTCTTGTTTGTGACGCAGTTAAGCTAACTTCCTTCTGTACTAATCGAATGGTATGTTCTTTCTCAGGATAAGAAAGTCTTATCGGTATTTATCAATCATAGTGTGATTCCTGATATGTTAGCCGCACATTTTATTGTTTGCAAAGCACAGAAATCATGCACTAATTCAAGATGTAAATGAAGCTACATTCCAGTGCATTTGAGAATTGATATATAAGGGTTTTCTGCAGCGAGAATAATCATAATTGTCACGTATATCCTGTTTTCCAGCTGTGCTGAATTCAGGCTTTGCTCTCTTTTCACGCATATTGAAGCTTCCCGCCGTTCTGAAAATGACACTTCAAAGGTAATACACATATTAGAATTACAAATAAGAAGGTTTGGCTTTCACTTCTTATAATAGGATATTAAATGTTTCCATTTCATATAGTTTAAAATATTTCCTGTTCAAATTCCAGGGTGTGTAACGAAGCAGACATTTGTAGGTCTTGACCATCTTAGAGAAAGACAAACGCGCAGTTTCCCTGGTAAGCGTTTAAGATATATTCCAAACTACATTACAGTTTAGTAGTTTTTCCCTCTTTGTTTTTTAGTTACTTCACCTTTGGACCATTGTTACATATTCATTAGTCATAAATGACTTAATATTAATCCAAAATAGAGCCTGACCAAATATTTTATTCATGAGACTCATATCAGTTTGATTTGCTAAAAAAAAGGCACATGTTAAGTTGGACCTACATTTAGTATACTTCCGTTTAATGTGCTTCCATCATATTAATATAAATGTACAGCAGAAAGGCGTCTTCAGCTTGGTTGCTTGTTGATGTGTGTTGTTTTACACCAGTTTATTTTTGGTCTTGATTGCTGAACTTTTGCTGATACTTCTTTTGGTTTTTTTAACATTATGAGAGCATTATCTTAATAAAAAGGGTCAAATGTTTTCCTTTTTATAAATAAATGTGAAGTGCAATCAGTATGCTGTTATTTTATGCCTTGTGATTTGTTGGTTTGTTCATTATTTGTGTTAACACTTGGAAGCTGTAATAACAATGCAGTTGCACCAGAACCTTTTTTTTATCTGACCAAACCACATGTGAACACATCCTTACCCACCCAAACCACTTTCCTATCAATTCTGGTCCTCTTCAACTCAAACGTTAATTCAACACAGACCACAGACAACTAAAAATAACTCCTGATGTCAAAGGATGTGACCATAAATAGGCCTAAAAAAAGAATAATTTACAAATTTTAGAAGCTTTTCAGTTTTTCTTGACTGATAAAAATGCTACTATGTTAATGTATACACAGGGAGGCCATTTTGCTTGACACTGTATTGTTTAGGATGTTTGGAAAGTTCTGTTGCAAAATATATAGATTGCAAAAGGAGTTCCTGTATCTTTAGATTTTATATTTAAAAGTGCAGCGTAAATGTATTTTTGTCTTATTTTTTTCCGTTTAATTATCTAGAGTTATGTCCCTCGGCATGGTCACATGTCACCTTTGTATTCTCAGATATTGATTGACTGGGTTTAATGAACAATTTATATAAAATTTAAAAAAAAAAAGGTCTTGATTCATTTCCAGCCCCTTTCTGAACCGGAAATTCAAGTAACGCTGTAATGCATTTTGTTTGCCCTCTCATTTAGCTAGAAGGCTTTCTCCTAAAGCCTTTAACAGGTCATTTAAAACCAACTAAAGGTCTGAGAAAAGGAGACGGTGGGTGTTTATGAGTTTACTTCTCACTCATTATTTTTATAAAGGATGGGTGTGTGATTAGTACATTTCTAAGATTAGATATGACGTCAGATGTTACATAGGGGGAAAATATTGCATTTTTTCCTGAATAAGACCAGTTAATTGGCTTGCTTTCCAGCACAAAGCCCTATTGTCTGTGCCCCGATTGATTTTTTTTCTTTTCAATGTCATGTGTAAATGGAACCCAGGTTGACCTAAATATTGCTGGCTTAGCTGTGGGGCTTGCTTTCTCAAGTAGTCCCTAAAGAAAGGTTGAGTGCTAGGGAAAAGGCTACATTATATGTATTCCTTCATTTGCGTTGAATAATACGAGCTTACGTGAACTTTGTACGTTTTTAATACGAGCTTACGTGAACTTTGTACGTTTTTAACATAGTTAAGAAGCATTTAAATCAGAATTTAAAGAGACAGTGATGTTTTCATTGGGAATTCATGACGAAATAGTCGACACTAAAACCCGAGTGGCTAATTTGAATACTGCACGTACTTGTGCATAATCCATCCATCCTCGACAGTTTCCTTTCATTTGAATGACAGAAGGGACAGCGCTCGCCGCTCAGTTGTTTCAGTGATACTTGAGCGCAGGAACCAGAGGTATCAGTGAAGATTGGTCCGGAGTGGAATTAAAAGCCCCTGCTTCTGGATTGGTCAAGCCGCGGGCTCAGTGGGGGTCTTTATGTCTGTCATCTCTCAGTGCGCGCGACTGTGACCGAGCACCAGTCAGCCGCCTGAACGAACGCGCCGAAAGAATCAATAACCAATCAAGAACCACTGACGGACAACACGGGTTTATATTTCTGCTTCACTGAGCTGCCTTTTCTTCCTTTGTTACGTTAATGGGATCCCCTACTTATTTTATTATCCTATTCACTCTTTCCAGGAGTTGTCAAGTCTGACGGTAAGTTGAAATCAGCAACTAACTAATATGTTTACAACGCGAAGTTGTTATTGCTTAACGTTAAACGTCTAAATTAAATAATTCACCCACAGCTTGTGTAGGCTGTTCAATGTTGGAATCAGCCATTTAAGTGAAATTGTTTCCATTGGTTAAAGCGCGTCTAATCCTTTAAGGCATCAACATTTCACTGCAAAACAAATCATTAGCCTACAAAACCACACCAATTATTTCACAGCTTTGTCATTTAGATAGATTCCTTAGACAAACGCTTTTGTGCAGCTACTTTAACTGTGAATACTAATTTTATTTGAATACAATTTACCAATTTATAAAGTATATAAAGCGCAAACTAGCATGGTAAGCCGTTTAAGCATGCACTCCTTAATATGAATTGGTATTTTTAAGTAGCCAAGTAATGCACTGCAAGAGCTTGCTTGTTATTTAAGTGCAGCCATTCTGCTTTGTTAATACTCGTTTAATTAGTAGTTACTCCTATACATTTAATTTCTTATTAAAAATACTACATTAATTGATAGTAAATAACCTGGTGTTTTTGAACCATACTGTATTAAAGGGCTGACTGCTGAATTAATATGTTGGGGTAATTCTGTCGTTGCTATGGTAATACGACTATAGTAATAGACAAAACCTAGTACTGTAGTTTTCTAAAACGGTATGTTATTTTCAACACACCACAGTTTATAGTAAACGAAAGATCAGTTGCAGATGCTGCAGCATGTTGTATACTATAATATCGAGTATAGTACACTTTATATTTGATTAGATATTTGGATAGATACTTACTGTATTCTGTGAACACAAATACATATTTCACACTGGAGTGCATTTTTTCCAATAACATTTATAATCGAGCTTTAGAGTGTGTACCAAATTGTATCACCCATGAGCTTTCAACACCAGCAAAGTGTGTGTCCACAACAGCAGTGTTAATGTAATTCTGCTAAAAGTGTGTTTTAATAACGAAATTTTGACATTATTCTGTAGGCTGTTTACTGTATGTTGCTAATATCAGCCCGTAGCTACAAATAAAATAATAGTTGTACTGATTACTACAATTATAATGCATGGAAATAGTTTAATGAAATATGCACAATTTACAATGTTAAAATAATAGTTATAATTTAAGGTAAAATATCAAATCTATACCTTAATTTCTGCAACGTTACAATTTGTCAAGGCAGTTTAACATAAAGCATCATGCAAAGAATAAATAAAATATTTGTAAAAGTCTTATGTTTCTTGAAACTAATGCATGACGCATGGCTAAAAAACATCAGATTAATAATAAACCATAAAATATTGATGGTCTTGCCACAGTGGTGTTTTTTTAATGTTGATACATGTAAAGCTTTAAGAATACTGCATTCAGCAATTTGGATCCAGATTTAGATGTTTTTAAAAACGTTTTGCTTCTCACTTTAAGCGCTTTACAGTTATTGCTGATGTTGGAAAACTATAGGGAAATAATGCAGCTTTTCATAACCAGAATTTCTGTACCTTCCAAACTAGTCCCACATTTTGGCTCCAAATTCATAACATCAAACAAATCATTAAACGTAGGAATCAAAACAGGTTTTGAACTGAGAAATGAAGCGTTTTATGGTCATTTTTCATTTTATGATCCTATCAATCAGCTGAGGTAAAAAGAGTGAGGCGGTTATAAACCCATCATTCACACACAGCTGAAGTACATCTGTTTGTTCGGAGCTGTTTGAATTGGTTTGCTTTCAAACCCTGATATTCTGGAGAGATATTTGCCAGATATTTGTGACCGTGTTGGATGATGGATGGACGCAGACTGCAATCTTTTCCATCGTCCATCCACAAGGGTCCACTGTTGAGGCTGATGTTGGCACAGTATGTCAAGGCACTTAAAGGGGTTGTTCACCAAAAAAAAAAAACATTTGATCATAATTTACTCATCCTTTACTTATTTAAAACCTGGATGTGTTTCTTTCATCCGTTGATCCCAAAAGAAGATATATAAAAAATAAAAAAAACTGTAACCACTGACTGCCATAGTAGGAAAAGCAAATACTATGGAAGTCAATGGTTACAGGTTTTC